AGTGATCCCGCTGGATATGGATGCGGAGGGGGCAGGCAGCCCCCTGGACGCGGCTGGTGCGGAGCATCAGTGCCTGACCCTCGAAGAGCTGGGGGACTACTTCCAAGAGTGCATCGAAGCTGTCGAGCAGCTGGAGAAAGAGAGAGACAGCCTGATCGCGGAGCTCGCCCAGCTCCGGGAGCCGGCGCTGCAGGAGATCCGTCATGCCCACGAGGAGATCCAGGCAGCTTGCCGGCTGCTGGCCAAGGTGGAGCTGGAGAGGGACAACCTGAAGGATGAGATCCGGCAGATCAAGCAGAAGCTGTTCAAGGTGACGAAGGAGTGCGTGGCTTGCCAGTACCAGCTGGAGAGCCGGCGGCACGACCTCTCCCAGCACACCGCTTACCGGGGCGAGCTGGAGACCCAGGCCGGGCAGCTCTCCGGCGAACTGTCCCGGCTGAAGGAGACCTGCGAGAAGGAGAAGGAGGTTTTGAGGCAACAGCTGGAGATGCCGCCGTGTCGGCAGGATAACCTGTACCTGCAGGAGAGCCGCCGGCTTTCCATGGAGTTCGAGAGCTTCGTGGCGGAGAGGGGAGGAGGAAAGCCCTGCGGCCCTTGCAGGGGGAGGTCAGCCGGCTGCGGCTGCAGAACCGGAGCCTGGAGGAGCAGATCGTCCTCGTCAAGCAGAAGCGGGATGAAGAGGTCGGGCAGTACCGGGTACGCGCCCCGGCTGGGCACCGCGCATTTAGAGAGCGGCAGTCATTCTGTGCAGCCGGCGAAATGTGGATGCTGAGGGTCTTGCTCGTTCGTAGGGCCAAGGGGTGGATGAGGAGGGTGAGGAGGGCGAAAATCTCCTGCTGGTCGGAGTCAAATGCATCCCCTGCCCTGGCCTGGCCCAGCCCAGGCGCAGCAGCAGCCCCTGGGCATTGGGCAAACAGGAGGTTACAGGAATGCGGTGGGAACCCGATGAGCTGCCAGAAAAAACCCTTCTCCCGGCTATATTTTTGCTTGGTTTTGCAGGTGCCCCTCGGAGATGGCCCCAGCAAGCAGGGATGAGGCAGAGGGGATGGGGGGGTTTCCTTCCCTGCACGGGCTGGCCGCAGAGCAGAGCAATGCTGCTGAGCACAGGCACCACACGTCCCCCACAGCTTGTGCTGGCGTGGAAGCCAAGCTAAGGCATTTGGAAAAGTCAGTTTTAAATCAAGGTGGCTTTTCTTTAAAAGCCCAGCCCTGGCGGGGCAGATCCTGCCCTTCCCACTGCCGGGAAGGGCCTCCCGTCCTGTGCCCGCAGCCCAGGGAGGGGGCTCAGCCTCCCGAGAGGGTTATTTCTGGCTGCGCCAGGCAGCTCCCCCCTGGCACCTTGTCCTGAGGGACAACGCAATTCAATATCTGTAAGAGCACATTTGGCAAAGAGGCTCCACAATTAATCTCCCCCCTTTCAACACTCCTTTTCTCAGCTCGTAAGCACTGCCGGCTCCCAGCCTGGCTCTGGGCAGCTTCTGGAAGCTGGTGTCTCCCCTCCATCACTTCTCCTCCCTGCTGAGCTGGAGACCAAGTCACCAGCGCCCGCGACGCTGCTCGGCTTGGACTTCGGGGTCTGCTCTCCCTTGGAGGACAGGACTCGAGGCATCCCTGATGTGCCTCCACATTTTCTTTTTCCCAAACTCCGTGTTTATCTTCTCCTGCCTCGTGGGTTTACACAGCTCTGACAGCTTCTCAAAACACACACAAAGCAGTCTAGGGGACAAAACCAACCAGCCAAGAGAAGCCTAAGGACCCAACACATCACATCCCAGCCTGAGCTCCCACCTTTGTAATAAAACAAAGCTTTTTTGCAGAGATTTTTAAAGACAGTGGTTGGCCAGCCATCAGCCTGGCTTTGCTTGTCCAGACCAACACCATCACCAGGCAGATCCCCCCAGGAGAGCGTGGGCAGCAGCTGAGTGTGGGCCGCGAGACAGCCTTCCTCCCCCAGCTAATCCACTCCTGCCTTCTCACTCCCCAGGAACAGGTCGAGGAGCTGGAAGACAGGCTGAAGGAGCTGAAGAACGGGGTCCAGCTCCAGCAGCGCAAGAATCAGGAGCTGGAGGAGCTGAGGACCAGCCTCCACCGGGAGCTCTCCATCTACAAGTCCGTTTGTGTCCCGTCCCTGTGGCGCGGCGGGGATGGGTAGGGGCTGGGAGGAGGAGGATGGTGGAGAAGAGCCTGGTGGTCATGCACCTTTTGGACACCGTGGGCGTTTGCTCCTGGTCCCTGGGCACGTGGCTGAGGTGTGAGCAAGGGGTCTGGTGGGCAGCACAGCAGGAGCTCCAGACCCCTTGCCGAGCAAATAGGGATTTGCTGGAAATTCCTGTACACAAGGAGTGGTGGTTGCTTTCCAAGAAGCAGGTGTGACAACTTAAACAGGCTGGTTTCCTTAGGAATACGTGGAAAGGAGCTGAGGTTTAGGTTTGGGAAACACTGCTGTGGATGCTCTTCAACGAGAGCGCGCTATCTTCTGCTTGTAACGCTCCATGGCTGGTTTCACTCTGGTCTTCTTTATTACACAGGACTTTTTAAAGCTCTAGAAAACGTCTGTAAGCTTGTGGACTCACCAGACTTTGTGTTGTTGTGTGTTACTCCAGTCTCAGCTGTACACACTCAACCATTTTCTGTAGCTTCACTGTTACTTCAGTGGGTTTTTTTCCCCTTCTCCACCCAAACCTCCTCATGCAAGCACACCACGGGAGGATACTCCCTACCACAAATAGCTATGGTTTTCTTTTATCCAGGTAAGACTTTAGCGTGGAAAGCACTGGGGAAGAGATCTGTTTCAGCCCGTCATGTCACCAGCCATTCTGAGGTGTCTTAATGAGAGTAACTGCACTTACGGTTCACACCAGATCCCAGCAACCCTGTGTCTTTGCTGCTTGTGGTCCTTCTAAATCACACGTCTAAATCACAGACCTGTATTTAACCCGGGTGCAGCAGCGCAGCCGCTTAACTCCTGGCAATCTGCACGTCGCCATTGCTGGCAGCGACAGCGTGCAAGGCTTCTCGTACGCCAGGGCACCTCATTTTCACGTTTGCACCGGGGACCTCGGAGTTCAGCACAGCTCCGAGCTGCCGTATCCCATAGCTCACACCAAAAACGACCTTCCCTGCTGCTAAAGCTGGTTTGTTTGCCCAGGGCTCTGAAGGGCTGGGCTGGGTCTGCACACCCACAAGGCCAGGTACAGAGCCAGTGCAAGTGTTGCCCAATAATTTTTCTTCCATACTGCGAAAAGAATGTTTCTCAGGAATAGCATCTGTCCCCCCTCCCCATTTTCTCCAGCCAGAGTACTTTATGTAAATATTCAGTAGCCTAAATTTACTTTCTACCCGTACAGGGGCTGCTTAGAAATCTACGGACACCTTTGCAAATCGGAAGAAAAAGCAGACCAGGACTCTTAGGAGCAATGGACTTTTCCTCGTTGTAGCAAAAGGCCAGAGGCAGCTGCAGGGGACGTCTCCTGTCGCTGCTCACCCTGCCGGACGCACAGCAGCTGCCCGAAGTCGGCAATACCAGACGGTCGTTTGCTCGTGTTTCTCGAGGTGCTGCTGTTCATCGTGTAGTAAAACTGCTTTTCCACAGAGGAGCAGAGAAAATAGTACTTGCACTGAACAACGGACATATACGAAGAGTAACAAACGTATGTTTTGCTGTGTTTGGAAAAATGTATCTTGTCTTCTTCCATAGGTGGATTGTGTAAGCCTGTGCAGAAGATACTGTTCTGGAAGCCGTGTTAGGGGGGCCGATTTTTAAAGTTTACATGCAAGAGAAGCTTTATCCTTTTAACGGGATTTTCTTTTGTATTTCAAGGGTCTCTGCTGTCTTGTGACATGCTCCACCGTGGGCCACAGCAACTGGTTTGGGGAGAATAGGTTTCCACTTTATATAAAAGTCTCACACTGAAAATAAAGGTTGGAGTTTCAGGATCCTTTTAACTCTCAAAGCTGTGTCTCAAAGAGAAAGTAACAAGCTCGCGTCTCAAACTAAGGTGCTTGTAATGGATCAGACCATTCATGCTGCAGACTAACAAAAAAGGGCTGAAGGCAGGCCCAAAGCCCAGGCGGCAGCACGCTTCGGGTGGAAGGCGCGCTTCAGAGCTCGGCTGCCTGGGGACAGTCACTGCTCAGGTAGTCATTTCACAAAATTAGCAGCAGAAACGAGAAGGGGAGAAGCGTCCACACGTTACCAACTAAGGAGTATCTCCACCAGCGCCTTGTCTGGCAGGACACACAGGCACAGGCTAGGCCCTTGCTCTCTCTGCTTTCTGAGGAGGCACAGCCTACCCTCGAGAAAGCACAGTCAATGCAGGAGGAGAACACCGACGCAAAAACCACAAAGCTACACAGCATTTACGTAGAAAAAATTTATTCCATCTGAAGCACTTACAGGCAGTTAGTCATGAGGAGCATGGAGAAGAACAGGTTGCTGGTGGAACAGGACACCCTAGTGGAAGATGGGCAGGAACTAGTGGTCAAGGACTAACTCCTAAAAAAAGTCGTTCATCCACACTTAATTTGCTTTACAGATACCAGCTACCAATACTGCTTTAGGTTACCGGGCTCGCCATCTGTGGTACATCAGTTGGTAAAAACATACACCTTTACAACTTGGTGGCCCCAAGTCTTAAAAACCATTTCACAGAAAGGAAAGAAATATGTGAAAACACAGCTCCAGAAACACACAATAGAGCAAAAGACATGGAAGGTGAGCAGTGCTCTGCAGGAATAGCTAACGAATCCAAACCGCTGTTGCCCAGCAGACGAGAGAAAGGGAAGGGAAGGAAGGAATGAAAAACCCAGAATTACCAACAGAGACAAAAAATATAGAAAGAAATTTATTTGCAGTTGAAGTCAGAATCTGCAAGTCTGCTTTCTATCTGCAGAGGCAGACACATCCACGAGGTACAGAGTAACTAGGGGAATCCCAAGACTTCCAAATTGTACTGAAGAGGACGAGACCTTCCACACTCCATTTCTGAACCGCCAGTGGATTAACACTTGTATCATCTCCATTGGCTCAGGCGTACTCTGGCAGCTCTACCGATTTAACTTTTCTTTAAATTAGGCAAAAGCCCACAGCTGTAGCAAGCTAAAGACAGAAGAAGAAAAAGCAACAAACCCAAGTTTGCTCTGTGTGATGAAGGCAGCTAGAACGGGACAGCCAGCCCTACGCGCAAGAGGTTGCCGTAGACAACGTGACCCAGAGCTACAGCACGGTACCGGCTGAGCTGGGCTAAGCCCTGCTCTTAGGGAGGACTCGCTGTCCGGGTCAAAGCGCCTGTTGGTGGGATCTACAGAGGGATGGCTGAACACAAAGTCTACGTGTGTCTCAAAACCAGTGTTAAGTCAATATCAGGGTTGAAAGGGAAGAGAAGGAAAAAGACTAAAAAACAGGAAAAGGTTGTCATCTAGGATCCTTGACCTTCTGGATCCACACTTCCTTCAGGGTCTTCATCGTTATATATGTTCTCTGCCTGCAAGACAGAGACGGAGGCACTGAAGCATCAGTCACCACCACGCTGAACACGATCCCATCTGCCAGAACACTTCAAGAACTTGTGGCAGTTTTTCACCTGCAGATACACATTACCCATCCCTGATGCCTCCAGGCCATTTAACATTAAAGCAGCAATGCAAATGACCTTTTTCGTAATAACCATGTCTCCGAAACATTTCATAAGAACCCTGTAAGTTACTCTAGCTTATGGGAACCTGCCTTCTTAAAGTAGAGACCGCTCCAAGACTTGCTTCAATTAACAGACTATTGCGCAGGCCTTTAGTAGCTCCTCTTACTGGGCAGCGGCGCGTTCCAGAAGAACTACATGGAAGGCTGCCAAGATCAAAGCCCCCGTGAACCGATTTATAGATAAACAAGAATTAGGAGTATGGCCTTGTCAAATATTATTCGAACATTAGAAGTTTGTTTTCCCAAACCTTCAGCAGCTGGTAATTTAGGGCCAGCAAACTTTTCCTATTCACTGCCACTCCTCTCCATCCTCTGGAGAACATTTGTATCATTTGCAGAGATTTCATTAAGACAGTAACTAACAGAAACCTCAATTTCTTCTTTGGATCTCACACATATTGTTCTCATTGAAACATACAAGGGGAAAAAAAAAAAAAAAAGTACTTTATTTTTTTTTAAACCATAAGAAACACAAAACAGCTTCTGAGTATTTGTAAACCATTGTTCCGACCAAACCTAATGTGGATTGTACCATGCCTTTGAGATTTCGGCAGTGCCACAAAGCAAGTCACGCTGAGAGCGGTAAATAGAACCAGGAATGCTGAAATCCAGGCAGCTCAACACCATCTCTCATCTGCCCCTTCCCGCACCTTCCCAAACAACTTACCATTTGCCAGACTTGCATGATATTATCTTCTGATACAGAACAAATTACCCAGGGCTCATTGGGATTCCAGGAGAAATCGGATATCTTTGCAGTATGACCACCATGAATAAACTAGTATTGGGGAAACAAAAAGGGGAATGTTTTCAGATCTACACCACAGAGATGAGTAAAAGGACAAAACAATCCATGGGATTCAGAGGACTTGCCAACAGCTCAGGCGGACCATCCTCAGCATCTTCAGGGGATTGCTCTTCTCCAATTTTACTGTATTAAAAAAAAGAGGAAAAATGAACAGGTGGGGATTTGTTTTTTGAAGTGTGATGTAATTCATCAATACTATTTTGTCAGGACAAGGTGACTCATTTGGGATTTACCTCAAGTCCCAAACGTTTAGCCGGCGGTCAGTGCCACTGGAGGCCAGTATAGTTTCGTTATGGGGAGACCACTGAACCTACAGACAAGGATGAATTTCGAAAGTTAGTTAGTTTTAAAGAAGCTGCAACATGACAGACATTCACATCTAACACTACTGTGTTTCGTATCATGAAAGCCCTATGAGAATTCACACTGATATTAACTTGAAATATGAGTATGCCCAATAAAAACGTCCTAACATAGGAAACAGGTTTGTGACCGTTCATACACTACTGAGGCATTTGAGCACCAAAAAGGTACCACAGGTAACCTGTCCTCCAACAAAAGCCACGTGCTATGAAGTGCAAACAGCTCTCAAGGGTATTAGCTGCTCCTTGCCTGAATAAGGATTGCACAAATGTAAACTGTGGATTCCTTAAGTAGTAGGTACGGTATACACACAAAAAGAAAACACTGTAATTAAGCTTAACTGCCCAAAAGCTCCCATTTACTACTTCTGCTGGAGAGAAATCTCTCCAAAGCACGCTACTTAATAGGATCACAGGATTAGAAAAGATCACGTAATTCTGCACACTAACCCAACATTTCAAGATTCCATGTGTAATTTTATTTTGATGTAACTACAGTGTTAAGTAGTAACGCTTCCACAAAAAAATCTCGACATATTTTTCTTCTGAGTAAGGGATGAGTTGGAGATGGAAATATTGCATCGACTGAGCTCATGCTACTCCTAATGTTAACATTCTATATTTACACCAGCAAAATTAGCAATTGTTGGTTGTCACAGAATGTTCCGGCGAGACCCTTTAACAGGTACCGGCTCAAGACTTCCTACCGGACCAGGCTGAGAAGACGAACACACTGCAGCCATTTCATTGTGCCTCCCTGCTTCAATCTGCTGCCATGAATAATTTACAATTCCTCTGTACTGCTAGCATTCCACCCTTATGTTGTGGTTAAAGCTCTTGGCCATTTGTTTGTTACACTCTGTCCCTGGCTTTCTGGACACTCTTATCTGTACTGGAGCTCTACCCCACACAGAGCGCTACACAGCTCCACAACAATAAGCCAGAAAACGATCAGCAGATGAAAGAACAGAATATACAAGTTTTTAAGTGCAAGCACATTTAATAAAAACGTAGAGTGGAATGTTTTTCATTTCTTCCAGACAGATAAGTAGAATTAAATCTATGTGCATAGAAGATAAAGACATTTTCTTATACCTGAAATATTTCATCTTTATGAGATTCAAAGGAGTGCAACTTCAGTTTCAGGTTTCTCAAGTCCCATAGAGCAACAGTCTAGTAAAAAAAACAGCCACAAAAAAACCACATTTTTTGTTGAAGTAACCAATATCTACATCCACATTCACACATCAGAAACTGAGCAAGCATATTCCAAGTTCAAGGTAGACGTACCTTATCAGCTGATCCTGTAGCCAGAATAAACTCACTGTAGGGATTGAACGAGAGGCAGTTGACTTCAGCGGTGTGAGCATCCACTGAATGACTGGGTTTGGAGGTGTTGTTTGACCGAGTATCCCAGCTGTAAACGGAAAACATGGAATTGAACCACAGGTTTATATCCCATTTTACTGAGGGTCGAAGCAGCAGACAGGAAAGCAAGAGGGACAGAGCACTCAGTTTCCAAAGACATTAGCCCACTTACATCATG